GATGCTGATGCTGGCGCTGCTGTTGAAGATGAAGATGCTGAGGCAGAGGAAGCGTCGTCAAGGTCCATTAATAGCTGATGGAATAAGAGGCAGTGAAAATCAACAAGGTCAACAGCGATGCGGCAACAAGAGGAGGAGCGGCAACAGGAGCACGAGCGCAGTGAACAAGAGTGTGGTGGATGTCCAGTCAATCGAGTCAATCGAAGTTGGAATTTATGATTGGTTGGATTGCTTGAACTCGAGCTAGAAGAATTCAAACAGCTCGAATCCTTCGAGTTGTTTAAACTCTTCGCGGAACTCGGATCCTCCGAGCGAGAGCTCAAACGACCGACTGCAAGCTCGTTCAAACGACCAACTGCAAGCCAAGCAACTGCAAGCCAGCAACTGTTCGAGCGACCGTCCTTCGTGTTGTTTGAACTCTTCGCGGAACTCGGATCCTCCGAGCGAGAGCTCAAACGAACGACTGCAAGCTCATTCAAACGACGAACTGCAAGCCAAGCAACTGCAAGCCAGCAACTGTTCGAACGACCGATGCCAGTCCTAGGTAACAAACAGAGACCAATGACACCTGCCGGTTGACCAACATCCACATGAGTAGCAACAGCACGAGCGATCGCGATGGATAGCTTCGTGGTATCGCTCGACCGCGAGATAATGAAAAAGTGAGGTGAGTCATGCTTCGAAGCATGACTCAGGTAATTTGAACCGATAATAGAGGGTGAACTCGAAAAAGGTATAACACGAGCATGACTCAATGCATGACACACATGCCGACCCTTCCATACGCAGTCGGAGCTCATTTTTCGATGAATTCTGTTAACTCTGTTGTCTCGTTCGATCGTTCGACGATGAGGCAAGGCTCTGCCGGTGATAGAGATGACAGTAATATCAGTAGCAGTGGTAGTAGCAGTAATAGTAACAGTACCAATAATGGCTCCTGCAGCGATGGAGACTGAGATAACAGGATCCTCATTGAGATTACGATCGTCAACAGGATGAAATGGGAGATTGCTTGCGAGCGAATCAAGGGGATTGCTTACGAGCGAATCCAAGGGATTGACAAGGGGATCACAATATGTTGGATCCAATTGACAGATTAAGTTGCAATAAGGGGAAGGACTACCGATGAAGATAATGAGAGGAAACTCAGGACTCTGCATCAAGGGATAGCTCATTCCATTGACAACCATAAGGATAGACATATAAGAATAAGAATGAGTAACATCTCATAACCGCATGCTACCATGCGACAATAACCATTGTGACTGATTAATCTAACGATCTAAGAGATGTAAATTTGTATTTAACAAATAAGTGAGCAGTTATTGATTATTTTCTAGAATAAGCCTGCTAATTGTAAAGCTGTAAAGCTGAATTGTAAGCTGTATCCCGTCGCAACTTGGCGTAAGCGCAGCCCTCATCATCACTGCCTAACCCTCATTTTCTCGACAGCGGATTGGACCTTCAAGCAGCATTTTCTACACAGCGCCTTCCAGGAACTCTTTGCATTTGGCGTGAAGGTCGGACCGCAGGATTGGTTTCGTTGCATAGTCGGTGGCGCCAGCGTCCAGGGCACTCGTCTTCCCCTCTTCTAGTGCATTTGCTGTCAGTGCAATGATAGGCAACTGCAACCCACGTTTTCTAAGCGTTGCAATTGCTTCTATGCCGTCCATTACAGGCATACAAAGGTCCATAAGCACCAGACCAAACTCTGGAGCATTGGGATCTCCAGTGACATTCCTAGATTTTGCAATGATATCAACTGCCATTTGCCCATGCTCTGCTTGCTCATATTCCAAGTTGAAAAACGAAAGCATCTTTCCAAGCAATTTTCGATTCAACTGTTCGATCAAGGCATGGAACAAAGACATTGAGCCACGATGGTTGAGCAATGCAGAATCAGGCTTGCAGTTGGAACTGCTCTTCAAGCGAGCCATTGCAGTTTCCTACGGACAACTTACCGAATTATCGTCGACAACAAGCACTTTCCTTTCATTTTGCTTGAAGTTGAATTTAGACAACTGTGGCTTCTTGGCCTTCCTGGGCGCAGAGGTACTTGAAGTGGGAGCCACTGTAGGGGCTTCGGTCTGTGTAGCGGGCATGGAGGCGCCGAAAAGTGGTTGGGGTTTTGGCACTTCACTGTTTGGAGCAGGTACGGAGGCACCGAAAAGTGGTTGGGGTTTTGGCACTTCAGTGTTTGGAGCAGGCATGGAGGCGCCGAAAAGTGGTTGGGGTTTTGGCACTTCAGTGTTTGGAGCAGGCACGGAGGCACCGAAAAGTGGTTGGGGTTTTGGCACTTTAGCGGGTGGCGCAGGCATGGAGGTACCAAAAAGTGGTTGAGGTTTCAAAGGTGGCGCCTGACTAGTCTTCATTGGCACCGCAAGCAGAGGTGCAAGAGCATTTGAAGTCTTAGAAAATGTAGAGGAGTCATTTGTGTTTGCGGCAGACTCGGCAGAAGCAGAAGAACTGGAAGTTGTCGTTTCGCCAGTAGATGTCGTGGCTGCGGTACATGAGGTTGAACCTAGGATGTTTGTTGAAGGAGAAGATGGCGGAACCGAAGTCAAATCAAAGAGACGTGTGCTAGCGGGACCGTGCATGGGTGTGTCAAGCGCAAAAAGGGATGCCGGCTTTGTGTTTGCGAGTGTGTCAACCATGGGGATGGTCGTTGTGTCGTCTGGTATCGATGCATCAAGAGCCGAACTGCTGCTGCAAGATGTCTCTGAATCGCTGTCTGAAGAATCATCGTCAGTGGATACTTCCCCGTTTAGCTCTAGCAGTGCCCCGGTCGTTGCAAAGGAGCCTCTCCGTTTCGGTTTTCCCTGGAACGTAGGCACGACAACGGGAATGTGAACGATGAACTTTGAGCCCGTCCCTTCTTGAGTTTCCACCTTGATCGTTCCCCCCATAATATCGGTCAGGTTGGATATCTGCGGAGAATGAGACGACCAAACTTTGTGTCAGTAAACTCGTATCCAATTAACAAAACAGAGGGGAGGGCAAGCATACGTACAATAGGCAGCCCCAGACCAGTTCCTCCATGTTTTCGATAATCGGAAAGTTTGGATTGAGTATAGGCTTGAAAGATACTCTCTCTCTTCTCCATTGGAATCCCTACCCCTGTATCCTCCACCACTATCCTTAGGACTTGCACTCCAGCATCGGCGCTACTGACGACGGAAGAATAGCAGTTTCCTTCTTCTGCCGCCTGCAACAAGGACATGGAGAAATCTTCCGGTTGTTCGTGCTCGCCAGCACAGTCACACTCTTCTTGGCTGGCATTCCCTTTTGTGCAAGTATCAAAGGAGCCCTTGACCAGCCCGTTCTTGACAGCATCGGCAAGGTCACAGACCGAAATCGAGAGGTTAATCGACCCCTCGGAAGTAAATTTGACCGCATTGCTGCGAAACAACGTCATGTGAGCGCATGCTGATGATTGATGGCACAAAACGTGTTGGCTGGCTGGACTGGACTGGACTTACCTAAGCAGGTTGTAGGTCGTTTGCAACACTCGCACCGAATCGCATCGAACGATTCGTGGGACGGATTGTTCGATGTTGTAGACAAACTTGACATTTCCTCGTCGTTTGTGCCGGACTTGTCTCTTCATGCTGGAAGCGACATTTTGGAAGAAGTCATGGACATCAAACTCCTGCTCTTCCAGCTCGAGTTTTCCCGACTCGATCTTGCTCAAATCGAGGACATCATTGACGAGTCGTAGCATGAGGGCGGTGGATTGATGAATGGAGTTGAGCGCCGTCTCGAGATCGGCACTCATTTCCAGGTCCTGAGCAAACTCGACATTCGTCGTGATGGCAAAGAGCGGGTTTCTGCATGATATATACATGTACAGTACGTGCGTTCGTGCCAAAAAGAGACGATGAGTTAGTGTTACATGGTTGCGCATCGATCGATCGTAATGCGAAGCCTATACGTACCTGATCTCGTGGCACAAGAACGCCATGAACGTGAAAAGCTGGAGACAGAATATGCATATGGTAAGTTGTCGGTCTTCATAGCTAATTGGCTCAGGGGTATACATGTACTCTACTAGTACAACAAGAACCTACCTTTCGTTTGGACTCGGCTGTTTCTTTGTTGAGATTGACGAGGTCTTGGAGGGATGAGTCCAGGTCACTGAATAAGGACGGTACCAACGGTAGCAGGTAGAGCGCGGTGACCAAGGAAATGAAGGATGTCATTATGTTCAGAATGAGAAAGGAAGTTCCGTAGGCATGATCCATGCATCTCATCAAATGACCGGCCCCGCAGAGGAAGATAAAGAGGGCAAAGAGGATGCAGAGAATCAAGATCCGCAGTGGCATCGACGCCAATCGGGGGTATCGATACAGCGAGAACACAAGCTGTACGGGGATGGAAAAGTAGGCGATGCTGATGATGGCGTCGTCGAGTCTCATCTTGTTGTTGCTGTGGATTGAATCAGAGATCAGCAACGTTGTTGCAATTCAATAATGCACCTCAGTCGAAACTAATGAAGTGGTAGCACAGTCGAAACTTATAGTGCGGATAATGTATGTGAAGTGGTAGCAGAGCTTCTATAGCAGTGTTATTTGCGACTCCTTCACTGGACTTGAATGGCCACAGCCGGAGAGCTAGCGCTTCTAGCTAGCTAGGACTGTTCTAACGTGTTCGAACAGTCGCTTGGGCTTCGTTGAGGCGTCGTTGCGGCTCTGTTTGGGCAGTGTGATCGACTTGCCGGTGCCAAAGAAGGGATCTATTTTTGAGGGATGACAGCGCACAGCTTTGGGACTTTTATTCTTTGAGTGACTTCATGCTACCCTCTTCCACAACTTACTTGTGACGCAACCCTGAGATCGGAGATTCGATTCGGAGCCTGGTGGCCTGGTGGGCTGTATGGAAAGAAAAAGGAAGGTCATTGAACAATGAATAATGATCAGTGTAATGATCATCCACACTCGACTACACTTCAAACTCAATAATAAGAAATCTCTAACTGGGTATCAGTACTGGAGCTTTCTTACCCATCTGCTCTATTTTGCTACTTGTTTTCTTTCAAACAAAACAAGCCCTTGTCAGTATAGAAGACTTTCTTACTAAGCTTCTACCGACCAATTGGTATCAAGTGAGAGTTAAATCTTGAAGTAGATAACAGGGGCCAACCAATGTTATATCTTTGAAGAGGGCATCAAGCCAAGCATTATTAACTATGATAGTATTTTCATATCTCTTCTACAGCAGGAGTGTAAGGACCAAGCAGTATAGGGGTAGAAGTATAAATTTTGTCAATATTTACGTCAAAACGAATTTTAGGGATATTTTGACCTTGAGTCACACTTCCGATTCGAAAAAGGGAAATTCGAAAAATGAAAAGTGATCGGAGCAGCACGGCAACACCATGCTGTTATTGATCTTAGGATCTTATGCAATCAACAACAAGAGATCCATTGACCACCCAAGCAGCAGCTTTAGTTAAATCACAACAAGGCGCAACTAACGCTGCAGCTGCCTTCTGGTTGCGATTTCTATAAGAGCTCAAGCCGATACTCTCGCTTGATACCAAATGGTCGGTAGATCAAACACAGTACTAGAGTAGTATTTGGATACACCCAGTACACATGGGGCCTTTTAGGTCCAACTTGCTCTCAGGACTTGCAACTGGCTTGGATTAAATAAAGATGGTTATCACAATTTAGGCACAAGTATGAAGCTTTTTCATGGTGTCAGATTAGTCGTACTATTTCTTGTGCTTTGAGGTCTCAGTACTGGGAAGCTTTCTTACAAGTCTGTGATATTTCAGTATCAAGAACCAGCAGCCTTCCCAATCAGGGTAACTATGCACCGATGCGGGATTCCCATAGCAATAGCGGGCGATTTAGCCTAGCCTAGATAGTTAGTCGTACAGCACCCTCCGGAGTTTTGTTCAATTTCTCCGGTGGGGGGCTTACACTAGGCCCATTCCTAAGTGGGCGCCTTGTGCGTCTGAGGTATGTGGGTTCATCACGGCACCGTTCAGTGGGATTGTCTGACGAGGTGTAGCCTTTAAAATAAAATTTCGTTTTTCAGTATCAAGAATTTCTTATCTAAAATCTAAGTCCATGAGTTTCTTAATTTCAGGTTTGGAGTGCACAGTATTCTGGAGTTTTAGCTACATAATACGGCTACTGTATTTTGTTAATAAATATGTCTCCCCATACCCGTACCACGCGAAGTAGCATCAGTACATCAGTACTGATATTATTAATAGTAGACGAGGTCATAAATAAGACGGAGCTTTATTAAATAAAACCTTAAAGTACTTGAGCAACCGTAATTTGCAGTACAGCTTACCGGAGGTAGAACATTGTCCATATGTCATGTGTCCATTCTCGATCTTTTTGGCTACCTGGTATTAATAGTAGCTGGGGCCACCAGTACGTGTACATTGTTCCATGGTCCTGGCCGTATTTCTAGTTTCGCCTGGTTTCACCCTCTTTGTAAAAAATAGAATACTCTGATTGGCGGAGCTTGGGTACCGGTACGTATTTTATTTTAGGTGGTGAACTTTTCCAAAAAGAATTTCATCCAGTGTTCGTTGCAAGCCATTCACCTCTGCTGTGAAATAGCGCGGAGAAACCGAAAAACCCAATTGTCTTATGTCAGCCTAAGCCCTACTGTATTTATTTCGAGCAAATGAGAGTCCTATTTAAAAATTGTCTAACCCGACCCAGCAAGGACACGACTTGAGTAAGACCAAAGTTCGTGACTCGACTTGATCCGGGACGAGTACCGCTGAAACACGAGCTGGCGAAGTACGACACAATTGACGCAGTCCACTTTGATCAGAACTTCAGCTTCAAAGCAACACACAACTTCTAAATAACAGTGATCGAAATCCTTTGTCGAAAAGAAAGAGATATCCTGTTCGAAGTTGAGTTTCTATTGGTACGGTACGCCATGACATCCTTTCTAGAGTCGCACAAGGACTTTGTGCTCAAGCTCAAGTTCCTGGGAGAGCAGAATGGTAAGCAAACGATGAGATAGTAGAGATTTGTTCTTTTTCTTTCGTGCATCGCAGATTGCCTCAAAATCCGAAATTCTTTCGTGGTGTGTCTGCTGCAGAGGTTGCCGAGATTCGTAGAGTGAGGCTCCCCAGGATCATCAAGGACGCTACCGTGTCCTATGAAGAGCTGGTAGGCATTGCGATTTCGTTTGTTATCCCCAAGAATCCGTCGAATGCTTCCGATTTTGAAGTGAAATTGACCTATCAAGATGTCGATGACGACACTGTGGTGATTGGCAGCTCGGAAGAGCTCATGGACGCGATTGAGCAGTTTTCGGAGCAGCGCGTCCTTAGGGTCACTGCCCACGTCAAGCGCTTTGCCAAGGCCGCAACAACAACAACAACAACTACTGCGGTGGATCCTCCTCTGAGTCGTGCACCTTCGGAATCCACCACCCGCAGCGAAGCCGCAGCGCAGACGGGAAATGATGAGGAAGCCCCCCGACCATCCACTACGACACCGCCTGCCCAAACTCCCGTCCTGACAAAGGCCGTGGAATCTGTTGTTAACATCATCTTGAATGCTGCTGTGGCCCTTAACAGCCGTGGAGGACAGGAAGCTTCTTCGAATCCCACCGTCTATTATTCCCCGGATGGAGTTCCGGCTCCCGCTGCTGAAGAGGTCCCCAGCGAGGAACCTGCTCCTTCTCCAGAACCAGCGGCCAGTGTCGTAACGGAAAGTGAAAAAGAAGAGCCCGCTGCCAAGCCTAAGGGAGCTGACAAGGAACCCACACCTGCCGTCAAAGAAGTAGAGCCCAAGAAAGAAGCAGCCAAGAAGGAGGATAAGAAGCCCGCGGCGGAGGAGCGTCCTTTCATCCATGGTCGTCACACTTGCGACAGCTGTTTGACCACACCCATTGTTGGCAAGAGATACCACGCTGTCGATATGAGCGACTATGATTTGTGCGCCAAGTGCTTCTCTAACTATTCCGGCACGGAAATTACTTTTGAAGCTGTAGAGCTGGGTAAGTCGATGTGATCCGATCTGAGCAGTGGCTGAACTGGATTTGTCCTCATCATCTCGTCTAATTTGCCCATTATACTTCAATAGAACGCGACCGCCACTTGCAGACTCGCTGGAACCGCCGCCGTGACCGAATGAACAATGCCAAGGGCCGCGGCGGAAACAATAAGCGTCGTTTTGGGCCTCGTTTTGGACCGGAGGGACAGCACCACAAGCGCTGGGGACCCCCAGCTCACCATCCGCCTCGTGGACCACCGCCACCTTTCATGGGACCTCCAGGACCAAGCCCGCCTGGTCCCTGTCCACCCCCGCCTAGGCCACCTCCACACGGAACTTTTCCACCACCACCAGGACCACCGCCGCCAGTTCCTGGGTGTCTCATGCCACCTCCACCACCGCCGGTGCCTGGGTTCCCACCACCGCCTCCACCACCACCAGTTGCGGCGATGCCACCACCGCCAGGACCACCCTTGCCGTGGTACTCGTTGGCAGCACCCAGAAACAACGAGGCAAAAGAGGGTGACCTGGAAAAGGCCATTCGCTTGAGCTTGGAAGAAGCCCAGAAGAAGAAAGCTCCACCCGCGCCACCTGCTGCTCCAGCCGTCAAGGAAGAGCCTCCAAAGAAGAAGGCCCCGCCTGCTGTTGTGGAAGATGATATCAATTCCGAGGACAAGTCTTCTTATGTCGAAGAACAAGTTGAGACTGCCTCGGTCAAGACGAACACCACTGAAAAATCGGCCGCAAAAGCTCCCGAGCCTGACATTGTAGTGGAACCAGTGCTCGTGGAGACGGTCAAGGACGTGGAAGAAGAAGAGGAGATCGAGATTCCCGCGACTGCCCCCCAGCCATCAGCTCCCATGGAAGAGGAAGTTGCTTCTGTCGTCTCCGACCCTTTTGAAGTGCACATGCCGTCTGGAAGCTCGGTTATTTCGGAAATTGAGAGTGACGGATCTCATCATTCATCTCAGGCCAAAGAGGAAAGCAGCAGCGAGCCTTCTTTCTCCTTGGACGCGGCTGGAAATGGCGACGTTGCGGATTTGTTGGGCTCGACCTTGGATGCTTGTGCTCAAGCCATTGATGCGATGGTGACGGAACTGTCTCGGGAGTCTTCGTCCGACTCGTCCCCGTCTGCGAACAGTACCTATGTGGCTGTTCAGGAGGACCAAGAAGCCGCAGCAGCCGAAGGAGCTACCATCTTGGAGTCTATTGGATCTCCTCGCGTCGAAGAGAACGACGTACAGTCCGAGTCTGGAAGGAGCGAGGAAGATTGGCAAGTTGTGTCTGAAGACCAGCAGGTCAGCGGTGACGAAGAGCTCGCTCGTGCTGCCCAGATGATTGGCTCGGCCCTTTTTAACAGTGACATGAGAAGCTCTCAAGAACTGCTCTCGACACTGTCTGGGTCTGCTTCGGATGCCATGTCTTATGCGTCTTCAGTTCCCACGTCTGTCCCTTCCATTGCGCATTCTACCGTCACCACGGGACAGCGAGAGCGCTGGGCTTCCCAGTTGGCTAAACTTCGTACTATGGGAATTGATGACGACGCGAAATGTGTTGAGATCTTGGAACGCCTGACCGCTGCAAACATTGGATGCGGCAGTGATGACGAAGTTTCCGTAGAAGCTGTGTTGGACCAACTTTACAAGAATTAAGAGATATGAAAAAGGAATAGATAAGAAAAAGAAGTGTGTCCCGATGAAGTTTTGTCTGTTTCTGTGGAACTCAAGCAAAGGAACTGTTGAGATGATGGCGCGGGAGATGTTGCTTGAAGCCACCTTTAAAAGTTAACTCAAAAGATAAGATGGTTTGGCAGTGACTTTTCGCGTTCTCGTTCTTTTGCCTCGGATCTGTGTCTGGCTGAGTTGCGTAGCGGTAGCGCATTCAATGTTTTACCACAGGAGCATGGTGCGAGGCTATGGATTCTACTCCAGTTGCAAGTCGCTTGCTGCCCAGCACACGCATTCATGCCGATTGTCTCCCTCACTGAATCGCATCAAACGGGGAGTGCACGAGCCTACCCAGTACTATGCATATGGGCGAGCCGCATCTGTTGGCCTACACTAATATGTCGGAAATTCGCACCGTCTTGGCAAGCGGTCCCTGAAATTATTCGATGAATTATTCGTCAATACACTCTGCCCACCCAGGAGCCACCGGAGAAGCTATCTACGTAGCCAGTATAGAATTTCGGATCATTAGTTCGTTTCCCGTTTGCAACACTCACACGCCACCACAACGTCGAAGTCCATGTAATCGCTCTTCCGACATGTGGTCAGCTGCTCCTCCAGCTCTGATATCTCTGCGGACACGTCCTTCTCAGCATTTGCTCCACCAGACCCGCAGCAGCCCCCGCCTAATTTCTTTTTCAGGCAGCCCAACAACCCCTTCATTTTCAAGTACATGTACAACGCATGAACAAAATGTCAGACCAAAGAACCAAACAGGTGCTCGTCGTGCCTCTCGACTGTATCACTTACGACTATCCCCCAAGGATTTCGAGGGTGGAAGAGAAGATCTTTCCGAAACACTTCTTCAGCTTCGCCAACGTGACCTTGTTCCAACAGCAGTCCCCCCAAAGCATGTCGAGTGGGTTGCATCTTTCCCCAGGGTTCGTCATAGTTCAAATCGTCCTGCAATTTGACAGCTGTACGGAGCAATACAAAAGCTTGGTCATGCTTCCCCTCTCTATAAAGGATCTCTCCTCGTAACATGGCAGCATCCACCGCCAACAGATCCGCAACAGAGTTGTTGTGTAGGATGCGATCCTCGGCATCAGGTTGCTTCCGAATGCTGTCGAAACGATCCGCTTCTTTTCTAGCCTCGGCAATGTCTCCAAGCGCCGCCAACGCCAGGCTTCTGGCAAATTTGATACTGGCGGCACGGTACAGCATGAGCTTTTTGTCTTTAGGCGGTTCAATCTCCAAAAGCTCCTTCCAACGTCCGAACCGTATCATCGTATGAATTTCCAGGGCCGAGTATGACTCCAGATACGCGGTTAGGTACGGCGACTCGACGAACATTGCTTCGTCTACAATGGAGGATAACTTTGTCGCCAATTCCATGGACTTCTTCTCATAGGCACCCAGAATACCACTATAAACGGCCATGTCTGTTTGGCAGTCGATCGATCGATTCGAGAAACAACATACAAACCTGAGCCCTCGCGAACATTACCAATCGAAGAACACAAAAAGGAACTTACGGTAGTTGTGAACAATATAACCAAAGTAGAAGGACTCTTTCCCGGATGTTTGTGGACTGAACCTCATGGATTGTTCGTCTGCCAGTATCGCATTATAGTTGTAGCGAAAGCAATTTTCATTGTCTCCCACCAAAACATCAATGTGCGTTGCCTGACAAACAACATTTCATGCATGTGCGACAACATCCATGAAATTGTGTGAGAGCTGGCGAGTATGGATTGGGCAATCCAAACGTAAGTGCATAGGCAGGTAGTTAACCTACCATGTGAATGAGATGACCTGCATGCGGGAATTCGCAGCGGAGGGGCTTGCAAGCCTCCAGTGCTTGAGCCGGATTGGCCGACATTTCCGAGAGGTGCACGTACATGTGGCAGAGACCAGCATGGTGACTGTGAAGTTTCAAACTCTTTTCCAATATCTGTAGTGTTTGCAAGGGCATAGAAATGTAATGAGGCGAGAGAAGATACATAAAACATAATATCCCAATTTGCCTTTTCCTGCCTCAGTCTCTTATACTCACCTCGTGACACTCTGTGACATCGGGGGACACAGCCTTTCCCGTCGGGTATTCGAAGAGTTGCCATGCATTGAGTACCATGAGTGATTCGGCAAAGCAATATGCCACATCAGGATCATTAGGATACTTTTGGTAGACCTTGCGCATGGCATCGGCATATGGTCTCCCCACCATTTCCTCGGATAGACTCGGACTGAGACCTGGTTGACAGCACAAGACTCGAATAGCCACGACAAGTTTGGCTTCTAAATCCGAGATCAATTGAGGAGTCTCGTCAATTGCATTTTCGTCATCCGGATTTTCCGTTCCGTTGCCGTTGTTGTTGGCTTTGGCAGATTGTGGTTGTTGTTTCCCCTTGCCCTTTTTCTTTCCTTTGCCTCCTCCTCCCGATTTGTTTGCCTTGCGATGGATTTTCCGCAAATACTCAATTTTGTCCACGGCAGCTTTGGAATGTCGATCGGCGACCTGTTGACTGGGAAACGTACAGAGCAAGTCTTGTATCTGGACGTCGTGTGGATGATTGGCCGATTCGTAGTAGGCGTCGCCTTTGAAATTGTAATTGGGGGAATGGCAGAGTGCGACCAAGGCATGTGCCAAGACACAGTAGGGAGAGTGTTCCAGGCATGCCAAGAAGCATTTGGATGCCATTTCGTGCTGGTAACTCAACATGAGGCGAAGACCCAGGTTGAAGAAGGTACGACCCTTGGGATTCTGGGTGTTGCTGACATTGGGACGAACGTAGCCGCCCAGGTCCATCTTGTTGGGACCATCCAAGGGAGGAAACCCCAACGGGACATTGCCATACCGAGCTTGTTTCACAAGTGGATCAGGCCCCTGCATGCAGCACAGCAGCCAAGATGAGTGTGTGAGCAGTGCATGCAGACGATTGAATCATTCATGTAGTAGTCTTGGACCAACCCAAAGGGAAAGGAGACCAACTTACTTCGTAGTGCCAATGCGGAAGCTTTTCGTCGCTCAGTGTCATCGTTGACTGTAATTGTATTTCTATAATATGCACTCTAGCAGTGATTGCAAAGCAGAAGTGGATCTGGTCGTCGTCAATGTCTACTCAGATGAAACGCAGAGATCGACAAAGATGTTTGTGGTCGTCGTGAACGTTGGGGGTCTGGAATCTGGAACAGTCATTGTTTTCGGAAGCTGTGGTGGCACGTGTCGATCGCGGCAACTGAAAAGATCCAAAAGATATGACACCTTGCCACTATAGTCTTTCGCGGTACTCGGAGCAATAACGCACGGTATTTTGCCCAAGCCTGACGGGATTGAACAAACCGTGAGGTTTCCTGGCCGCGATCAACAGCTCGTGCAACAACAACACAACACAGAACAGAAACAACATCCAGCCAAATGTGCCGAAGTCAATACAACTTCCTCGCCCTGCCTCACCCATCAGCCGTCATCACACAAAGACGACAGCCCAACACCACAACAAGGCAAACATGGTGTCTCCATTTGAAGGATGCTCTGAAGAATGCGGTTGGATTGCAGCTGTGGTGGCGGCCTTGAGCTATGGTACGTACCGATACGGAACACCTGCTGTGGACTGACTTTTGCTGTCTACCGTACCTAGCTAGCCGGTTCTTGGACCCAAAGATTAATCTGATGATCTCTCTCGTACATGTACTCTTTTCTCTCATTCAGGAACATTTGGGGTGCCCATCAAAGAGACAGTCGGTGTGGATGTCCATCCCTTGGTCTTGCAATCTTTCAAGTCTTTCACCATGTTCCTCTTTTCGTGGCTGATTATTTTTCTTGGGGAACCCATTCAATTCACTCCCTGGGGGCTGCTCTCAGGATTGCTGTGGGTTTGCGGGGGTTGCTTTGGTATCTTTGCCATTCGTAATGCGGGCATGTCGGTGGCATCCGGCACTTGGTCTTCCTGTATGGTGCTCATCAACTTTGTAGTGGGCATAGTGTTCTTTCAGGAACCAGTCTCTTCGATTACCAGTACCTTCTTTGCTTTTTGCCTCTTGGGAACTGGATTGGTAGGAATGAGTGTTTACTCTGCACCAACAACTCAATTCTCAAAATCGGCAGAAGCAGAGACTCAACCCTTGATGGATAAAAATGCATTGGATTCATTGGTCGATGAAGAAGGGCAAGAACTACCACCAATCACAACGACTCAAGGCATTGCCAGTCGATTGCAGTGCATGTCACCAGCCAGATACAGGCGCAATATGACTAATGCCATCGTCACTACCGGTAGCATAGAACGGTTGCACATGAACAAGGAGGTCACCAAAAGAATGGAAGGACCAGGTGACAATCAGCACAACAATTGCGGTGGGTTGGGCCAAGAAGCCTGTACAGATCCTTCTTCTCTGGAAACAGACAGCAGTGCTGATCGGAAAACCAATAGGGTCAATGACAATGGAAAACAGCGTACCCTGATTCTCAGTTTGTTTCAGGAAGCAGCAAACAGAATCAACACCAATAGCCTTACAAAGCGACAGTTAGGGATTTTAGCATCCATCATCAATGGTATCTTCTCTGGCAGTTCCTTTGTTCCACTTCATTATGCCAAAAAAGAAGGCTTTGGCGGAGCAAAATACATGTTGAGTTTTGCCACAGGGGCCATACTTGCAACCTGTATGATTTGGGTCGTTTTATTTGTCACCAAGTTCATCACTGTCAGTAGGAAACACAAACGAGAATTGAACGACAGTGGCTCCAGGATGGTCCGCATTCTTTTTGCAAAGGCTTATGAATCCATGCCGCCGTGGCATTTTCGACAAATGTGGGCACCAGGATTTGCCGCTGGGACGCTCCTGGCCATTGCCATGTTCGGAAGTATCATTTCAGTTACCCATCTGGGGCAGGGTGTTGGTAATAGCATTGTGCAGTCCAAGATTTTGATCAGGTAAGATTGCAATCAAGTATCTTGTATGCAGATTTTTGCTTTTCTCATCATCTGTTGCACAATGACGTCTTGTCACAGCGGGCTTTGGGGTATATTCTGGTACCGAGAGATTGTTGGTGTACCAAACATTGCCAAATGGCTCGCTTCAGCCGGCGTTGCTGTACTGAGTATCTTGTGGATCAGCTATGAAAGAATACTCTCCAAAGCCGTGGCCGATGTTGATGTGGACAAACACTACATTTATGAGGCTTTTGCCACCACAAAGGTGGCTACTGGTGGCTAGCTAGCAAGTGACCTCTCCAATATTTCTGGATGCTAATAGTACTATATACCATGTAATCAGAACAGTTTTGCGCTGTTGCTAGCTGGCTATGAAGAAGGACCAAAGGCCTCCCAGGAATCCGCCACAATATCCCACAGCATCTTGCACAGGAAAGTTTGTTCTTTAGTCAAATCCTTTGGCAGTTTGTCTGGGTGCAGGAAAAATTTTGTCTTCCTCACAGCTTTGCATCCCACGAAGTAAGAAAGCCAAAAACTCAAGGTGAGATGTGCGTTTGCATGGATTTCAAATACAGCAATGGACAACAAATGGCAGCACGTACCTCTCTTCAACACAGCTTCATCTCTGCCCGAAAGAGCATCAGGGGAAAATGACTTCCACTTTTTGAAATAGGCATGGTCCGTCAACCCAAACGCTGGCGGAAAGGTTTGTGGAAAGCAGCTCAGAAGCTGATCAATAGATCTCAAGTTCTGGTGCGCAGGCGGCGCTGTCGCCCACTGCAAGATGCCTCTCTTGATCTGTGCCATGCCCTCGTCACCAGAAGCTTGCGTATATTTGCTTGCAGAAACTGCAGCGCCAGGAGGAGCAGAGGATTGCGGGGGAGGCGGTTGTTGCTGTTGTTGTTGTGGAGGCGGTGGAGCATGTTGCTGCTGTGGCATGGGTTGTTGTTGTCTGGGTTGCTGAAACGAACCTGGTTGCTGTGGCTGCGACCGTGCCGACTGCTGCTGGGGAGGGTATCCTTGAAAAGGTTGCTGATGCGGACGTTGCTGGAATGCCAATGGAACTTGAATGTCAGGCGGGAAAGGTGTATTCCGTGCGTAAACAAAGTGCAATCGCCTGAGGTCAATCCATGGGCCGAGACTCTTTGTGACGGGATTGAAATGCATCTTTTCTCGGGCTAACACCATGGCAAGAGCTCTCAAAAACGATGGCCACTGAGCGGCTGGATCTGGCCATGGTTGTTGCATTGGAAAGAAAAACGCACAAAACTGGCGCAATTCTGGGAAGGACAGGGCCCTTTCATCAATTTCATCAAAGACTGGGATGTTGAATCCAAATTGTCGAAATCGGTGCAACGGCATTCCATAATTCAACCAAGGGTTTTTGAGGTAAACTTCGATAGCCTCGCCAAAGAAATCATCCACCACGTCGTAGGACAAGTTTGTGCTCATGGCATCCAATGTGTTATAAAAGTCAACCACCGTCTCATCATCAGTGCATAGTCTCACCACAATCAAAATTGGTAGACCCTCCAAGGATCGCAGAGCTTGAACGAAATCTTGTACTACAGCAGGCCCGTGGTTTCCATGGTTGTCGGTTGGGACACCTGACGTTGCCAGAATGACGCTGACAGCCTTTCCTTCACTCACTAGTTTTGGCGCCATTTGGGATACCATGGCCTGAATCTGTCGAATATGATAAGCCAAGGGAGTGGCTGGACCAATCGGCAGTATCTGTCCCATGACGTTTCCAGCTGTCTGCAAATCTTGCTGCACCCTTGCGGGACCATTTTCGAAAATGGAGAAAGACCGATTTAGCTGGACCCCTGATTTGGATACTGGTGTGTTGACTAAATTAAATCTTGTAGGAACACCCAAGCATCCGGACATGTAGGCATGGAAAGCCACTTCTTCTTGTGCTTCATCCCAACGGGAACAGTCGGTGGTGGTAAAATTCTGAAAGGTTGAACCAACGATTTTGTGACCATCTGCCACTTGCATGGACGCACTGTTGTCAATCACCCAAATCCGAAGTGGAATGGTGTTGATGTAGTGAGAAATCGCTTGGATGAGACCCTGCGGGAACCCTTTTGTTGCAGTGATCTGATTTGCGTGAGATTCCTGCGGCGGTCGACTCGCCGCCATGGGTGGTTGCTGGGGTGCATGCATCTTGGGTCAAAGGGCTGCTTCACATACCATTCCCTTCTTTGAAAGCAGAGTGGGAAGAGGCAACCTGCAGCTATCGTACCGGTAACAGGATCCACCTTTTGAATGAGAATCGAATCAATGATGTCAAATGACCCCATTTTAGGGTTAGAGTTCACATGGATCTTTTGTAAACGCTTTGAACACAAAAGATCTCGAACCGGTACCGGTACGTGTACAGTGGTACCGTGCAAGCCAAATCCATTGCCCGGTGGTCCGCTCTTTTCGTCTTTCTAGAAGCCGCAGAATCTGGGAACAGACTAAGATCAGGATCACTCATCCCATCCCGTACTGTACCAGGTATGCCTATTGTCGTGTTGTCCTTGCACAGCGATACGCAAATTCGCAGAAGACCGAGCGGACGGGGAGAGATGCATCCGTTGGACACTCCCGTACCGGTACCAACTGCCATGCCGTGGGAGCTCATCCCTGTGTTCGGGGAGAAGATGCATCCGTTGAACACTCCATGCCGTGGGAGCTCATCCCTGAGCCCCCCTTGTACACTCCTGTACCAACTGACATGCCCCGGGAGCTCATCCCTGTGTGCGTCATCTGGTAAGTTTGTTGTTGTCCACCAGAGTTCATTCCCATAATGAAACGATCAAAGTTTTGTTTCTCCAGTTGCTGCTTCTTGTTGAAAGCGGCACTCATCTCGTTAAGGACTGGTGGTTGCGGTGGAGAAAAACCCCTGTGGTGCGGCGTATCGTGTGGATGGTGGAGGCGGTGGAGAACATCCATGTGGTGCGGCGTATCGAGTGGATGGGGGCCATGTGGATGCGAGCCAAAAGGTGTATCATAGCCCATCTTGATTCCAGCGTGAGTAACCAAGTAATCTTCAATAAGACTTTGCAGCTCCTGGGTGTTCATATCTGAAACGGCAGAGCGAGGCTCAGCGACGATGCTGTTGCTGTTGGTTCGTTCTTAAAAACCGGGAATTTCCGACTGCAGACTTTCTGCATTGTGCGTAAGGTCAATGATGTTCATTCCAAGTCTATGTAACTCCTACGAGCGAGCTTGGCTTTACAGGTTTTATTTGAAGTTTACATCGTCGCGTGGAAGGAACAACACACGACATGGTGGAGGATCATTTTTTGAAGTAAATCCCTTCCAATGAAAGATTGCGAGGGGTGGGTCCACACCATGCTGATGATAATAATGACTCCTCTTTGTCCCTGACGATCACTGTAGTTTCCAACGACAGGGTTGAACAAGCGTCAAATATTCAGCAGCGTTCTGAGGATCATCTCCGAGGAGAGAGGAGTGGATTTTGGTACCAGAGCCAAAGCTTTGGAACCCTCACTTGCCCGCTCTGAAAACACTCCTCTGGAAACACGGGACTGAATCATTCACGGATAACCGCGTATTTAGGGTCGGGTTTGAGTTGGATCTTGTGTAAACGCTTTGAACACAAAAGATCTCGAACCCGTACAGTAGTCTACCGAACGCACGGTGGTCCGCTCTGTTTGACAGCCGCCACAGAATCTGGGGAGCAGATCAAGCTATTCATAGTAGATCATAACTGTATTTCTTTAGTCGGCAGAAGATGGTCCGCCTGCAGCAGTAGCGGAGCTTATCCTATGTATAGTATTGAATTGCGCTACCTGCTTGGTGCTGGGATGAATCGGATCCAGTGCCTTTCCTGGTTGCTGCAACGGCGGTCTGATCTCTACAAGTACTATACTAGTTCCCAACTTCTGGTCCTGCCTCTTGACTCCCCACTACTTGTTGCTACATGTGTAATGTTGCTTCGATTTCGTGTGCCCCTGAAATCCTACGAACCAAACTGGAAAGCATCCGAGCTAACCTACCGGTAGCTGGCATCTTTTAGAAATGTAAAATCTGAACGAGAGTCGAGTGTCGAGTGTCGAGTGACGAGTCTCGTTGGGAGCTCGCGGGGTCTGGTTTAAAGTTTGAAGAAATCTTGTGGCGGGGATGGTCGATCAGCCAGAAAGCTGAAAACGATTGGTTTAGACCAGGTCGTAGACCAAAGCAAACAACCTCTTGGATCTTGGATCCACAACCCACAACCCACAATTCCTCCTTTTATGTCGTAGTCTGACCGCTTCTGCAAAAGAGAAATGCCGCTTGACAGTTGACAGAGAAAGCCAAGACGCCAAGACGCAAGTCAAAAGGAGTGACCCCTGAACCCTGAAACCAGAACACAAATCACTCCGACACTCACAGTTCACAGTCTCAAGCTTTCAGCTTCAGATGACGAACGAAATTTAGATTGCTTGAGCTGCGGAATAACAGGAAACAGAAGACAGCAAGCAGCGCACCACCTGTATTCCAGACAAAAACATACTATTAGCAGTCTAATAGCTAGATCTACAGAGGAGCTAGTAGTAGCTCTACATATACATGTACATGTACATGTACATGTACCGGTACTGTAAATGATCCGAAGTCCGCAGGGTCCTCCGGAGCCTAGCAAGTTCCGCCACCAATGACGGCGTGATGGACCCAGTCAGCCTGTGCTGTCCCATTCTTCGCCGTCCCGTTTCTACCAGACTAAACCAAACGGCTGTAGTGAGGACACTCGGACGTTTGTTAGGTGGGGTGCACCAAATGGCTCTGAATTGGCAGAAACTGTGAGTGATTCCAGAGTGATGCAACACCTTTCTAACGGTTTTTCTGTCACCTAAGTGCTCTCAACATGGTTTGGTCATAGGGAGGCCTAGACGTGTAAGAGCTTTTCCTTCCTTGGCTCTAAGTGTGACTTCCCAACATGCGTTGAGAAATGTTTGATACAAAAACAGTACTCCTGAAGTTGTCATTGGCATCAATCGCCTAAATGAATGTCTTAGAGCATGAAGTTTATATAAAATATGAATAACAAAATCGGAACTTCCTAATTGATCTTTTCTAATTCCTCCTATGTCATTCTTGAAGCCTTTGCACTTCGTTGTAAATTTTCTAGTTCGTTTGATTCCGAGAGAAGCGCGGGTGCTTGGCTTGGTGGCAGGCATCTGACAATTGCTCTGCAAATATCTTTGAATTGGAGCCGGTAGCCGTTATCATCACATTTTAGTTTCGCCTTTCGCGTAATCACCAGAAGGGACGAAATTGAAACCGTGCGAAAGAGAGAGAGAAACAAAGCGAGGTGTTGAGAAAAGAGTGATAACAAGTCACCGCAACATAAAACACGAAGCTACCACCATGACAAAGTTTATCACGGCTGTCGACGACTACAGCGTCAGGGGACGCGTGGTGTCTGACGATGATGGAGAAGTGGAGGTATCCAATACGCGCGACGTGAAGTATCTGGAGGATGAAGTGGAAACGGGGAGCTGCACCTCGGAACACCCGGATGCTGCCGATGAGACGCAGGAGGAAGATCAGAAGCTTAACTTGGTCAAGAAGGAAACGGTGGCTGTGTTTCGTCTTCGTTTGCTGGTCTTTCTAGTGCTGCTCTTGGCGGCCGTTACTGTGTCGATCATTATCTTTCTGGTTACCGCCACCGCCGAAAGCGATGAGTATCACAGTCAGTACGACTCGGCGGCCAAGAAGGTACTCGAGACATTCATTGACATTGTTAACACCAAGCTGGGAGCTGTGTCGGCCATGGGAGTTGCCATTATTGCGCACGGAGTGGTAAGTACTCCGGTATACCCTTTGATTCGATTAGGGGTGTTCGGTTTCGGTGAAGACTAACGATCCTTGCTCTTCGTTGTTGTTAACCATATAGGATCACGAGAAGAGTTGGCCGTTTGTCACTCTGTCGTCGTTCCAGCAACGTGCCTCCACCGCCAGGAAGCAATCGGGGGCTCTGTATGTCCACATTAACCCAATGGTGGAGGATATTGAGAAGGGTGCATGGGAAGAGTTTGTCGTCTCGGAGGATGCGGACTGGGTGTAAGTGCTTCCATGGCCACTCCTGTTCTGTTTGAATATACTGCCTCTTGTTGTTTACGCTCACAACATACCCTACATTGCATTCCTGACAATAAATTCAGCCAGCAAGGTTTGGATTACCAAAAGGATGTTGGACTACTCGGGTTTGAACCGGAGATGGACGGATATGAAAACCTTCACCTCTTTAATGGCTCGGATACCTGGCCTATTTGGAGGAGGGACTACATGCGACGTGTCGTTCCCGAAGACGCAGGAACAGGTCCATTCATGCCAACCTGGCAAACCTCCCCGGTCTTTCATGAAGGCAGAGACGTCAACGAGAACCTGCTCCAGTCTTCCTCCCGCCAAGGACTCAACGATTCCTTCTACTCCGAGTCTGTGGTGATTGGACAGTTTATCACGTCCGAACCAGGAGATGTACATTCCAGCAACCCTCTAACGGCTTGGTTGTCTCTCATGTTGAGTGCTGCCCAGAACGAGCCGGTCGAGTATGCTGGGGATCCCTTTAGTCAGATCTTCTTTCCCATCTTTGATTCCTTCCGCGATAACCGCAAGTCTGTGGCCGTCATGGGTGCTTGGATCCACTGGATGAGCTACTTTCAGTAAGTTTCATGCTTTGATTTTGCAGGACTAAAGAGCTCGGGGAAGACTTGTGCTAACGTTCATCCTCTTGCCTTTTTTTGATTGCAGGTATCTCCTTCCAGCTAGCTTGGACGGTATCTACGTTGTACTTCACGATTCATGTTCCCATTCCTTCACCTACGAGATCAACGGGGAAGCAGTCCGGCCCGTGGGCCGTGGCGATCTTCACGATACCAGATTCAATAAGATGAAGAGATCCGCATCCTTTGATGCCGTGCAGAACATTGGAGATGGAACCAAACATGGATTGCCTCTCAACAAGGAACTCTGCATGATCAGTATTGATGTCTACCCATCCAACGTGTTCTACAAGACATACAACACCCCCGCTCCTATCATTATGACAGTGGCGGTATCTATGATCTTCATGTTTACTGCATGCATGTTCGTCTTCTACAATCGGCTCGTGGAATGGCGTCAGGCCTTGGTCATGCACAAGGCTGCGCAAACAAACAGGATCGTTAGTGGGCTATTCCCCGAGAATGTGCGGGAACGGCTCATGAAACAAACTCCAGGCATGACGGTCATGCGTGAGGGATGCTTGGATATGTCCCAGAGCCGAAGATTGAGTGGGTTCCTGGGAGGGGTTGAGGAATTGGAAATGGCAGAGGCTCCGCCGATTGCCGATCTGTTCCCACACTGTAAGTTTACACTCTGCTGCCCGAGAAGATCAATAGCTAGCCACTGTTCTAACCTTTCTCGCGTTTCATGGACTTGTCAGGCACTGTCCTATTTGCCGACATTGCCGGGTTCACTGCTTGGAGTTCAACCCGGGATCCTGAAAAGGTGTTTATCCTCTTGCAAACTGTGTACCAATCCTTTGATAAAATCGCAAAGCGCAGGAAAGTGTTCAAGGTCGAAACGGTACGAAGAAACAGAGTGGTCTCGCTTTCGCATGAATTTGTTGTGAAAGGTCTAACAGCCGTCTTTTGTTCCTGCCACATAGATTGGGGACAGCTACCTTGCGGTCTGCGGTCTTCCAGGTGAGTGGGCAAAGACTTTGCGTTTGAAAAACAACATGTTTTATTTTTGTTGCTAACATGAGTTTCTTGTTGGATCGATACGTTGACAGAGCCACAACCACAACATGCGTTGATTATGTGTAGATTCGCGTGGGATTGTATGCAAAGAATGGAGATTGTAACTCGCGAGCTGGAATGGTAAGTCTCGTCACTCATGGGACTAGCTTCGCTTAATCTTCGTTTCTCATATTGTGCATACCTTGGTCTTCAATAGCACCCTTGGCCCTGACACAGGTACGTTCAAGAATCCGCCGCTTGATATGCATCTGTGCACACTAAACACTCACGTTGATCTGATTGTTTTCTTTGCCCCCCTGCTTCAGGTGATCTTTCCATGAGGTTTGGGCTTCATTCAGGTCCTGTCACAGCTGGGGTTTTGCGTGGAGATCGTGCAAGGTTTCAGTTGTTTGGTGACACTGTCAACACAGCTAGCCGAATGGAGAGCAACGGTCAAAGAAGAATGATCCAAATTTCACAAGAGACGGCAACATTGGTCATGAAGGCCGGAAAAGACCACTGGCTAACCCCCCGCAAGGACAAGATCATGGCCAAGGGGAAAGGCATGCTTCAGACATATTATGTGGACCCCACCAAGAAGCGAGGCAACAGCCTTGACTCCGGAGACACCAGCAAGATGGATCACATCGGCCAAACCGACTCATTCCCGGACATTGAACCTGTTCCTCAAAGTGTCAACTATCGCCTGATCAACTGGATGGTGGACCTTCTTGTGGAAGACGTGAAGAAAATTGTACGGTTTCTTGCTTTGTCCATGAGATATGCAATCATATTCCACTAACTTCACTGCTTGTCTCATGTGCCTGGTCAGGTGAACGTCCGGCGCAAGTGTGGCATGAAAGAAAAGAATAGCCGATCTGTTTCCTACTTCCCTCCCAAAGGGCAGACCGGTATTCAGGAAGTGCTTACTGTAATTGAAATGCCTAAATTTGAATCGAAAAAGGCCGCTGTCAGTGCTGCTGGAGACTACAGCAAAGTTGCGCCCAGCCCGGAGGTTTTGTCCGGTCTCAATGAGTATGTTACTACTATCTCGAGGTTGTATCGAGACCAGAACCCGTTTCACAATTTTGAGGTACGGGCCGGACCGCAAGCTTTAGTTCGCAGCAAAGGGATTCAACACAGACCCAACACGAGCTCACCCCTCCTTCCTTCTCATATCAGCACGCTTGCCATGTAACAATGTCGGCCAAGAAGCTTCTGAAGCGAATTGTCACTCCAGAGTTGCCTAGTGACACCAAGCTGCACAAGAAGAATAAGACGTTGGCATTGCTGCATGACTACACTCATGGCATGAACAGCGATCCATTGTTGGGACTTGCAATTACTTTTTCTGCTTTGATTCATGATGTGTGAGTTTCCACTTTCTCAACTAACTGCTACATGTACCTTTCCTGGGTTTTGTATTCACTGAACACATTGGCTTTGTATTTCTTGGGCGCGCAACAGTGACCATCGAGGAGTCTCCAATGCTCAGCTAGCCTCGGAAGATATGGCATTGGGCCAGAAGTACTCCAACCAGAGTGTGGCCGAACAGGTAAGAAGAGAAAACCTTCATGCTTTTGCGAAGCTCTTTGCTTTTTCGTTGTCTACAGGGAACTCACACTCGGATTATCGTGATTGCTGTATAGAATTCTTTGGATATCGCCTGGGAGGTTTTGATGGAGGACCGATTCGATGCTCTGAGGCGGCACCTGTTTGCCACTGAGGCTGAACTCCTTCGCTTTCGACAGTTGATTGTCAATGTTGTGCTTGGTACGCAAGAGACACTTGATTCGTTCTGCTGCTGTATACATGGACCCATCTCACGTTGATCCTTTGTTTCAGCCACTGACATCTTTGATAAGGAACTGAACGATTTGCGTCGAAACCGATGGGAGCGTGCCTTCTGCTCCGGAAACGAGCGTTCTAGCACCAACAGCCTGAGCAGCACCAGTGGTAGAAACCAAAACGACGCGGAGAGCGACCTTCGTGCTACCATTGTGGTAAGTCCTTTTGAACGACGTTGGCAAAATGCATTGGAAGAAAACAATGAATGGTGCACCTCATAGAAGCTTTCTCCTTCTTGCAGATTGAACACATTATTCAAGCCTCCGATGTGTCTCACACGGTAAGTCTGCCAGGTGGATCGCATCCTGCCACGAACATATGGAGACTCACTCGACGTATTTTGCTGTTTATCACTTTCAGATGCAACACTGGCATGTCTACCAGAAATGGAACAAGAACCTCTTCATGGAAATGAGTCGAGCTTACCGAGAAGGTAGAATGTCGAAGGACCCAAGGTACGAGCAGAAACCTGTGTTTGTTACAGATGCGATTCACTCCACGACATTTACAAGACCTAACAATGTTCCCAATTCTTGCAATTTCCGCAGTGGATTCTGGTACAAGGGTGAAATTGGTTTCTTTGACAACTATGTCATTCCCCTAACAAAGAAGCTGAAGGAATGTGGTGTCTTTGGTGTGAGCAGTGATGAATATCTGAACTATGCCCTCCAAAACAGACAAGAGTGGGAACACCGTGGGGAGGAAATTGTCTCGAATTGGACCGAGGAACTTTCCAAGACGGAAGATGAGATGACTGACGACTCCATCACCTTTGCATGAGTGTTGTCTGCAAGAGAGAGTGTGCGTTGATACGGATCAATGCACACACCAAACGATACATATTTGCTTGCATGCATGAACATCGAATACATTAGAAGGCGTTCCCAGCTAGACAGGAGAAGCGCTCTACTTGGAACAGACCCAACCACCTCCATTTCCAAATATCTTTCTTCGTGGTTGGGCTCGAGTGAGTGACGAGTCTAGCAGTAGTTGACCCTTTTCAAAAAATCGGTCTGGCTACTGTACAGAAGGAACCTGAATTAAAAAAAACACAAATAAAATAAACAAAGCTGCATGATACATGATACCGTACGACGTTTGTGTTTGGCCAAAGAGATGAATCGGAGCATCCAGAAAAAAAAGCAAGATTTTGGTGCTGTGTTGGCGTAACCGTAGCGGTAGTGCCATCCCAGCCTTGACGGCTCCAAATTGGATCTTTTGGTATCCGTCCATTTCTTGATTTCTGATGCTCTGATCAGGCTCAACCAACAGCGTTTTTTGCTTATTGTTTGGAAACTTGATTGTTAGAATCAGTCTAATTGATACTCAGAGATAAGAAGTACATGTAATGAGTGGCTATCGCAATTTACACCGCGAGCAGATTGAATCGACTGCGATTTGGGACGTTGCGACGAGTCCTCTGCTGCTGAGCACCACGAAACGAGATGGCTGCTATCGAATCTGGACGGCATCGGCCGATGGGTTGGTGAGATTGTACTACGTGCACGAAAAGACTGTGGAAGAAAAGCAGCAATCGTCGGTCTTGGATGCGTCGGCACTGTCCATGACGTGTACTCATATATTACTGGGATCGACGCAGAAACCACAACAAGCAGGAATTTCGGCTCTTGGCTGTACAACCGTATGCGCGGAGCGAAATTACGTGGGTGAAGATGACACTGCCGGTGATCTCGTAGTGGCTTCTTTGGGCATGTCGGGAGTTGTGCGGATATGGTCTTTCTCCGAGAATGCCGATGCCGATGTAGTTCTGTCGGACAATCAACCACAAAAAGAAGTCAAATGCTTGCAGGAATTCACAGTGGAGAATGCCACTGGCACTGTCATGATGATTTGTCCACCACGAGTATGGACTACAGCGGGGACAACTGATCTCTGTGTGGCTGTGGCTTGCCTGGATGGAACTGTGGCTCAAGTTGCCACTGGAATTGCCACGCCGTCGCGAGTGCCAGACCAAAAGGAAAAGGAACCCACGGCTGCTGGAACAGTGCTGGATCGACGGGGGAGTCAAGGATCGGCAGTACCGCTATCAATTGCCAGTCACCCCAAAGCACCTGTTGTGGCAGTGGGAAGACAGGATGGTCAAATTGATATTCTGACTAGTAGCAGCAGCAGCACTCTACAACAAACAACTGCTGATGATGCACGACATCGGCGGCATCGATTACGACTTCCTGGACATGACATCGGACGCGACAACAACAACAGTGGTCTGGCCATTCGGGCCGCTGCCTACACTCCTGATGGGAACATGTTGTGTGCCGGAAATGATGCTGGCGCACTTGCCGTCTGGGATGTAAATCGCCCCGTTTCGCCCATGTTGGCCCATTACGTTCAAACAGCTCATGCGAGTTGGATCCTGGATCTTGTCGCCTTGCCGGACAGTGAGAGATTTGTTACTTGTGGAGCTGACCGGAAGATGCATGTCTGGAAATTAGATCAAATGTACCAACCTGTCCACAGTTTTGACTCGGATCAGACAGTTTGGACGATGGCTGTCCAATCCAGAGGCCACGGCGCATTCGACAAAAACAAGACCAGAGCCACACTGAGAATGGCTGCGGGAACGGAAACTGGACGGATGCAAGTTCTATCGCTAGACTAGATAGCTAAGCAGTTGCTACAGTACGACCGTTGACAAACAAGTAATGCTACGGTATTGATTAGATATCCTGGACCTGGGTTCAGCTAAGGATTAGAGCCGGGCAATCCTGCAGCGGCACTGTGAAAGTCCGCCATGTTGAACTGCCTTGCTGGGAAGATTTGACCGCGTTCAGGCACATGCAGAGTGCGGTGCGTTGCAGGACTACCCGATGGCTGCTCTTCTTCCTCCTCGCTCTGTTCTGCTGTTTCTTCTTGCTCGTGATCTGACGCAACTGGCTGGGGAGGTTGTGGTGCTGGCGCAGTCGCAGATGGTGCTGGGCCTGGTGACGATGTCACTGCCTCGGGTTGACCAGGAGGTGAAGCTGCAGCAGCATCGCCGGTATTTCGCCTTACTGCGGCCGTCTTGCTACGCTTGGATTTATTCTGACGTGCCCGCCGGACCAACTTTTTCATGTACTCGGGGTCAATCGTCGTCATCAAGTTCTTGGGGAACTCCTTCACCACTTGGTCATACTTTTTGCGCTTTTCCAAATGGATAGGGTATTCTTCATTCTTGGCATGACGGTATTCTCCTTCATGTTTGCAAAAGTCATCGTATTCACGAGCGTACATGTCGAGTTGATCTTGTAGTTCGCGAGGGAATTTGTTGTGATCAACACCTTCATCATCGTCGCCGATGGCTGTTTTGGGAACTGTTTGAAGAGAAGAGATGTGAGCAGCATGCTCGCTGGCAGCATTATGATGGACGTGACACCCATTTTCGTCACGTACCTGGGACAGTGACCTTGAACGTTTCTCCAGCAAAGGTGCCTTTCGGTACCTGCACTTTCAACCGTTGCCCCGGAATATGTGGATTTGCAAAAGTGACTTCGTCGCCCTCTTTCTTTGTGGGTGGACAGGTGATTGTCACCTTGGACTTGAGGGGTGGTCGCCTCGGGAGCTGGTCTTTGGACATGTCCTGTATGAGAAAAGCAGGGTGAATGAGTGCGTGAACATCAACGGAAAAGTGCACACGGGAGAAGGTCGATGCTCATAGCGTCATAATACAGCACAACACATGAGGTGTCTGACCTTGATCATTTTCTTGACGATGGCATAGCGATTGTCCATAATCTTCTTAAATTTTGATGCTTTTTCCTTTAGCACCTTCAACTCATCATTGCTCTTTTTCGGAAGCTTCTTGCTACTGGCTGCAGCAGCCGCAACCGCTGCAGGCGCTGCCTCGGAAGAACCATCACTCTCATTGTTGTCTTCCTTGTCAGCCTCCTTGGTTGCCTTGGTCTTCTTGGACGCTGCTTCTTTCTTGCTGGTGGTCCCTTCCTTTTTGGCACTTGCATCCTTTGCTTTCTTTTTGTCGGGTTTCTTTTTGGCTGTGCTCTTGGTATTGGTGTCGTCTACCTTTTTCTTCTTGGCCACTACGGCCTTCTTCTTTGGGGGAGGCGACGTTTCCTTGTTGGTGGGTTTTGCCGCAGCAGAGCCTGCCACAGTGGGTGTGGCGGTACTTGGTTTCTTTCGTTTTTTGGTTGGTTTCGGTTTGGTGGGACTATCCTCCAAAGGATCATAGTTTTGTTCAGTCAATTCTGTCTCCTCTACTGCCAAATCACCGACATTGACAAAGAAATCATCATCTCCTTCCAGTTCGACCTTTGTCGTGGTTGTTTGCGCCAGCACTTGTTCCGCAATATCTCGCTTCAAATCGCGGTCATCCAAGAAACTAGATTCGGAATAGACACTTCCATCTCCTTCGTCGTCTTCGTCCATTTTTCGTTTATTGTTGTTGTTTTCGCCGTCTTCATTAATATTGTCTCCTTCCTCGCCAGCAGCAGCAGCACCAGTCTCGCTCTCTTCTTGAATCATGACGCCCCTCACATACTTGGCTTCTAGGTAATCCACAATGGATCCAAATTCGTGTCGCTGCGGTACCATATCGGACGATCGATCCAGAGTATTGTTGTTGTTGGCCGTCGTCGGTGGTTTTTCTTTCTTGGCTTTCTTTTTCTTGGGCTCGCCTTCTGTTTCACTTTCCGCTTCGTCATCGTCCACATCTTCGTCGTCGTCATCTTCTTCATCTTCCGGTGTTTCATTCTCATCTTTTTCTTTCAAGGAAGGAAATGCCTTGTAGAGAGCATCAATGCGACGAGTCCTGGTCCGTTTGATTGCCACGCCAAGATCCACCGTCACGCCCAAGGGGATTTCAATGGTAATGGCATCTTGAAATAGAGTTTCCAAGCTGGGAGGTGCCTTTGGTGGAGGGTCGCCACTTGTATTTTCATCCTCTATTGCGGCCTTGTGGCTGCTGCTGAATGTGCTCGACAACGTTGCTTCCACCATGGTCGACAACTAGCATATTAGAGATGTCTCTACGATGTTGTGTTGTTGTTGTCCCCATGTCCCATGTGCCGATCCGTTAGCCCACTGGTTGTAACCTTAATCTATCACATTAGGGTTCATTTGAACCCGCACGTGGTGAATTCGTGAGGTCACCTCTTTGGATCCCATCCACCTTGAACCACTTCTCATCCAGAACCCAGATCCCTTCAGAGCAATGACAGAGAACCCAAGGTTCACTTCTTGGTATCCCACACATCACCAAGGTCGTCATGGCAGAGCTATGATAGTTGCTACTAGCTAGCTAGTGAGCTGCTGGAGAATTGCGAAGAATCGAATCATCCATCAATCAATCTTCCGTCAAATGGAACAAACTCATTCTTTCTTTCAAGCTGCCTTTGTAACACAACCTCACCAAAACAACCAAGAAGACCTACTTATTAGTATTGCAATAGCCCAGATGCCCTCCTCCACTGATGTTGAATCCAACGAAAACCATCCTCTCCTGAGGGATGGCAAGAAGCAACATGTGAATGATGAAAACAAGAAAGATCGAAGAATTTTCACCGTTTTCCTCATTGTGCTGGTTTTCATTGGAGGCCTTATCTGCATCAGTATTGGCTGGAAACAGCATAACTCAAGGTCCAATAATACAGAATCCCCATGGATCTATCATACAAGAGGCAAAAGCTCACAAAAAGATGAATATCCTTGGTGGGAAACATCCAATCATGTGGATACAACCTACACCAAACTGCAAGGAAGTCTTCCCGCTCCAATTATTAGTGCTAAAGACTCAAAACGCACAAATAATCTTCGCTGGGGCATCGTGGGACTCGGGAGAATTGCCAGAGACTTTACCACAGCCTTAACCATGGCAGGAGCCAACATTACTGCCGTAGCGGCTGGATCCTTGCCCAACGCAACAGCACGAGCCAGACACTTTGCCAACCTATACAACAATATTCCACACAGTTATGGAAGTTATCAAGAATTGGCGGCAGATCCCAATGTGGATATTGTCTATGTCGCTACAATCAACTCGCTCCATTATAGCACTGCCATGATGATGTTGCAGGCGGGCAAAAATGTCCTACTAGAGAAACCAATGACCATGGAATACACGCAAGCCCAGGCTCTGGTCAAGGCTGCCGAAAAGGCCAACAGACTCCTGGTGACCAACTATTGGACAAGATTCTTTCCTGTCGTCAAATACGTTCGTTCTATACTGGCCAGTGGTCGTCTGGGTGACATTAGCGCCATGAGAGGAGATTTTGGTTTTCCAACACCGCCCATTGCCAATGATCGATATCTCAATAGGGACAGTGGAGGGGGTGCCATGCTGGATGTCGGATGCTACCTCGTCAACCTGGCCCTTTTGGTAAATCCAGTGCTTCCCCAACAAATTCAGGCAAGTGCCCAGACAACCTACATGGACCACCAATATCGAATCGATACCGAGATGGGGTTCCTCCTGAATTGGGACTCTGCAAAGAAAACACCGTCCATGATGGCAGTCGAAAACAACAATAAGAATGAAACCAAAACAACACCCATGATATTTTCCGGACAAGCCAGTTTTCGCAGACCGTCCTCGTTCGAATTTGAAATCAATGCCCAACATGGTAGATTGGTGATTCACAATCCCGCCAATGCTGCCACCGCCGCCACGGTGTACGAATACCAAACCTTTGGCCCGTTGAAACACGTCGAAGAAATCCGATCCGAATTGCCTCCGTTCGATGTCAGCTTTGGACCCGAACAGTATCCTCGAGGAGAAGGCTTTGTGTACATCATTCGGGAGATTGAACAGTGCATGTTCGAAAAGGGCATTCCAGGTGACGCCAAACCTGGCTGCCTGGAATTGGAAGAGCTTACCCTGCAGGATCAATTGCTGACAGTCAATGTCACTGACACTGTCCTGCGCAGTGCTGGGTATTGGGATTGGTGAGCATTGATTTGCATTGCATTGAATAGTTCGCCCACCTCAGAGTACCAGCATACAAGCGTGACATGGCTGGATCCTTTCACCACTTCTACAAATTGACAAGGAATTTGCATCAAAAGAGTACTGTTAGAGACTTCATGATACCATACAAGTTAGAATGTTTCAAATTGCAATAACCGCATCACATCCAGTACAGTAGCACTCATTTAAATCCACTTATGTGAGAGTCGTCATTCTTCAAAGAGTCCTTGGAGAACAATTTTGAATCCTTGTGCAACCTAGCAATGATGCAAACACACGTATCGCCGCCTTGAAGGAACGTACCTTGCTAGCAAGAATCGAATCCTTCACATTCCACGTGATGTGACACAGCTATCCCAACTGTGCAGCGAGTTCTTCCTCCTGCCATGCCATTGACGTCAACCACTTCTTTCACCCCAAGGTCCGTGCCAAGGTTAATTCGTTCCAGCAGCAGAGGCCAAGGGTGCCATTTGCATGTTTGGCATCCTTTGTCTCGTTTCCACATTTTTGTAGTGATAACAAGTCAAGAATAGAAGTTGCCTAAGGAAAACTAGCTGTGGGGCCTCTCCATGCAGGGGACGTACAGACGTTTCTGCTGTTTTGTTCACCGTCCATTTTGATGTGTTGGTGCAGTGGCGTACGGTGGCGTAGCCTTAAAAATTTTACATTCATTAGGGTTAATTTGGAACTTTTGGATGGGGACTGATCAACGTCATCTTTCGGAACCTTTGCTGCATTCGCAAAAGCGGTCGAAAATACAATTTCTCGAGACGCTGACGCCATTCTCAAATGCATTTCCACTCCGACCATCACCTAGCTAGCATCCAGAGCTTCAAAACCCACCTGGTTGTCTTCATCATAAATTATTTGCATCCTTCTGGCAGTGTCCAGGAAAAATCTGACGAGCGCAAATAACCTGAAGAGATTGCAGCTTCCAAAATGTGGACTACAGTGTGCCTCCAAGACCCCGCTTTGAGCCATCGAGCTGCCCATCATTCGTCCTACTCGCCCTCTGCCGTCAACCAGCATCGGAACTCTGTAATTGTTCATTCCAAGGCATCTTTTGCTGCGATCCTCGCTGCTTCCAACAGTGATACCGATGTTTTGACTGCGTTTCAAGAAGGATTACGACCGGCACGTGTGGCCTTGGCCGATTTTTGTTCTCGGACTGTTGCCGATTTCTTTCGCAAGAATTTGCTGACCACTACTACTGCTGGAGACAATCAACTGGCTTTGGAACCTTTGGATTACGCGTGCACAGGAGGAAGACGCAAGAAGCAAGCCACCTTTACCAGTGGTCACACACCCTATATTTTGGAACGAACCGATGTTTGGAGCACAAACGAAGAAGTCCACGTTATGCTGCGAGCCCGTCTCACCAATAATACCACGGCAGCTGTCAATGGCAAAAATATGCAAGACAGCAATAATACCAATGGAAATGGTGAAGTGGAACAGGCAAGCTCCAAACTTTTGAATGGTTGTCTGGGTCCCCAAAATGCTTCGTTTGTTTCGCAAGCCATGAATCACATTGCTTGTGTGGTGGCACAAACTCGATTGCGATCCCGCTTGGAACAATTGCAAGCCGTGGCTTTTATTGCAGATGGATCTATTTTGCCTCGAAAAAGTGGAGCCAACAATGCTCCCATGGCCAGTCCTCCAGCTGTCCCCTGTCAGGCTCCAAGCGATAGCAAAATGAAGCAAACTCTACAGGTGGATTTGGGATCTCTTCGACGATTCCTATTGACAGCACCCTCCGTTGCTCAGGATGCTTCAAGCACCATGTTCGAAATCACCGGAATGGTAGTCCCTAAAGGCATCACATTGGTTGCTGGTGGCGGTTATCATGGAAAGGTACGTTTTTTTTTACACTTTTTGCAAGCTTCATCTCTGTAGTATTTGACATTGCTAACACACCTTTTTTTGCTGCATCCCGTCTTCCCTGAAACGACAGTCTACCATCCTTCGAGCCATTGCTGCTGGAGTCTACGACAAAGTGCCTGGTGATGGTCGGTAAGTGACTTTCTTTTCCAAGGTATCGGCGGTTTACGGCTTTGTTCATCGAAAGCGAATCATTCTTACATTCTCAACTTGCTGCAGTGAATTTTGCGTCACTGTTCCTGAAACAACTAGCATCCGTGCGGAAGATGGTCGCTACGTTCAAAACTGCAACATTTCGGCATTCATCTCCAACCTTCCTACACCACCCGGAGTAAAAGAAACGGTAGATACGACACACTTCTCAACCAACGAAGCATCGGGATCCACCTCGCAGGCTGCCAATGTTGTAGAGGCGATTGAAATGGGCGCCAAAGTCTTTTTGGTGGACGAAGATGTCAGTGCAGCTAACTTTATGGCGAGAGATGGCAGAATGAGGGCGCTCGTCATGGACGAAAGCATCACTCCACTCTTGTATCGGGTCAACGGGATGTATCAGTCTCTGGGGATCAGTTGTATCGTGGTGGTTGGAGGTGTTGGAGATTGGCTTGGTAGGTCTACTGCTAAATTCGATGCATGGCTGCTACTGTGCGGCCTCCCAACTAATCGCTGTCTTTTCTCTTGCTTCGGTGCAAACCTCAGACGTTCCCGATCAGGTCATTCTCATGAACAAATACGTTGCTTCTGATGCCACCAAGAAGGCAGCCTCAATTAGCTATCAGTTTTCGCACGGTCATGTACAATACGCGGGCAAAGGATTGGTTCATCAACTCGAATGGGATAGAAAGGGAACACCCTTCGCACGTCGACCAACCGATGGCTTTCTAAAGCAGTTTGAACCTGCGACCAGTGCCATATCTCTCCTCGACGGAGGGCATGCCATTTCTATCCACCCTGTGGACACTGGTGATGATGATGATGCTACCATGACTGACGTGACAGTCTTGGACGACGACGATGACGGATACATTGACCTTTCACGCAGTGAACAGCTCATGGGTAAGAAACCCCAGCTTTATGCCTGTGGACAGTGCGTCTTGTGGCTCATTCGGGAAGCCCAGGCTCATCCGGGAGTTGGAATGTCGGAGTTACTCTCCAAGTTGGATGCGACAATCGACAACAAGGGCATGCTCGAGGTATTCACAGCAAACTCTCCACTGGACCTAACCAAGTCTTCCCACTGGGTAAATCTTCTCGCGGCTTCTGGGTTTGCCTTTCGTCCTCGAAAGTACGAAATTGGTCAAGCATTTTATCGAATGAGAGGAATCAAGCTGGAGCATATCCCTGAGGAGGAAGATGCTGAAGAGGAACGAATCCGCAAGGAAGCAGAACGGCGAAAGCGCGAACTCGCGGAGTTGTGGGCAAAGCGACGGCCAAACAGCGTGAACGACCCGGCGGAGCAATGAGTGTTCTCTACTCTCTAGCTAGGTAGGGAGCAACAAGTTCGGTATTCTGTAGCTGACACACGACCACTATAAGAACTCTTACAGCGTTGCAATGCGCATGCCAGCTAGAGATCCCGTTGGTCAAACCTCGCGTTGTTTCGTCTCCTCTCTCTCTGTTTTGACTTTGAGTTACTTGTACTCGATGATGTGCGATTGGCGCTGTTCATGCGATGTACTTCCACTTCCACGTTCCGGCCAGCTTGGTTGACGTGTTTGATTTCCCCAGCAAACGGCGTCTGCACTACTATCTTCCCCCCACCCGCACCTTCATCCGAAGAACTTGCGCTTTCTCCCAACGCAGCAATCAAGTCGTCCCTGTCGACGAACGCTCCTCTGCACGGAGGCGGGAGGCCTCCGCATTCGTACAGGTCAACCTGGAAAAATTGTGTCCGCCTGATAGCCTTTGGCAGCCACTTGATACTTTTGAGCCGTTGGCACTTCGCGAATCTGAGCCTTACTTCTTGAAGCCGTGGGGCCAAATCGAGATTCTCTAGGGCTCCAGCACCCCCAATTTTCGTAGAGGCAAGATCGAGGCTTAATCTCTCCAAGTAAGGGTATCCTCCAATAACGCTAAGCGGTGACAAGTGACAAAGCTGCTTACATCCCTCGAAGCAAAGCTTCAAATGATTCAAGTTCTTCAGTTTCATCAGGTATCCCAACTCTTTCGTTCCCGTCTGTGAACGTGAATAATCAATCGAAAGGCTCCGTAGATTGTTCAAAGCTTCAAGTCCAGGCAAGGCCACCACGACGTCGCAACTTCGAAAATTCAAGTCCAGTTCGGTCAGGGCCTCAAGGGACGCCAGTCCTTCTGAAAGCACCGCAACGTCGTGAAGTTTCGAGCACCATCTAAAATCCAGTCGGAGTTCTTCGAGGGTTGTCAAGCTTTTCAATGCGACCCCAATGCCAGAAACATCGGCAAGACCGCTGTAACTATTGTCTATTGTGAGCCTCGTCAAGCAAGAAGCACTGGCCAAACCACCAAACGAGGAAACATCAAGCACGCTGCAGCAACTGAAGTTGAAGTCGAGCTCGTTCAGCTGAGGCCAGTGTGGAAGGGTACTGCCAATCCATTCCATGTTCGGGATTGAGCAGTAGGCACAGTCAAGGATGATTCGCTGCAAATTAGGATGGCCGGCAAGACAACTAAACGGAGTGAAGTCCAGGTCATGGCAACCACCTAAATTGAGCGTCAGCGTCGTTCGATTCTCATCTTTTCTCAAAACTGTCAGTACTCGTTCCATACGACCGGCTTCTGCAGCTTTGCGTGCTGCGCATTCGGCAAAGATTCCTCGTAATGCATGGTTGGTACTTTCGAAAGCTGGGTGGTTCTTGTTGGGTTCCCGCAGGTCCAACTCGCTGGCTGGCACTCCAATAATGGCGTTGAGAATGCGGCGTATGTCAGCTTGATGTGACGCCTTTGCTTCTCGGACATCAATGAGGTAGCCCCTCTCCAAGAGCATAAGAGGAAAGAAATTCTCCCTTTCGCGTTTTAACTCGTGTGCATACTTTGGCCCAACTGCGAAATCAGACTCCACGAGCCCATCCGTGAGCACGATCCCTTTTCCGTCCTTCACAGTTGAAATATCAAGTTTGAGCGTCTTGTCTCCGTTGACTATCATAGCTTCTTCAAAGCAGCACCAAATTCGGTTGAAGGGATTAGCATCCTTGTCGAGGCATAACAGAACTCCTTCGCATTTTTGCATAGCCCTGTAAAACGATGTCTTCCTAGGATCAGGATCAATGTTGATGTCATCATCAATACTGTGTTGATTGTTGGCAACTGAACAAACCCAATAGAACTCATCCTCAGATATACCACGGACCCGAGCATGCTCTTCAATAGACAAGAGAAAGTTCACTAGTGGCTCACTCCATACATGGGACACAAACCACTTTGGAGGCTGTTGCTGTTGATCAGACAGAATCTCCACCAAGCTGCATTTACAGTCTTTGGTGACAGGTTTGATCACAAATTCCACCAAGTGATACATATTTACATTTTGCATGTGAAGCTTCCTTCCATACGTCAGCTGGCTTGCAGGGTTCCAGTCAGTCCATGGCAAGAATCCATTGGCGTCCGCGTGTTCCCTAAGATAGGATACCAATAGACGCAGCTGTCGCAAAGATACTGCCCTGTTATGAGCTCCATCCATGACGGTCCGCTGTGGATTTCGAAAGCGTTCAAATGTTGGTATTTCTTCAGATGGTCGTGGAAGAGACCGCATCGAGTCAGCTATAGCTGGTCCTAACGATGACTCTGAGGAACTATGTAAGGAGGATGGATTGTCGAGAAGAGTCTTTGCTCTCTGTAGTGCAATGAGGGGATCAGAAGCGAGAATTCGAAGGACAGCTTGGGTGTCTTCTATGAAAGGGTCCAACAAAGGTTCCCAGGCGTCTTCATATTCGATGGCTCCCTCCAGAGACTCTACCAAGAAGTTGGCGGTTTCCATGTCAATGTTCCCAAATGCTTTCAACAAACATTCGCTGTGATTATGAGAGCAGGTACTTGATGCCCATTGACTTGCTGTTTGTGTCCATGCTGCCATGAATTCTTCGGCTTGGTGGCTACAAGTAGAACATTCGCCATCTTCTAGGTCCTCCTCGACCGTCTCGACTGCTTCCGACTCAGCGTGGATTCCTTCTTTGCAAGCCATATCATATGTATCGGTGGTATCAGGTTGCGGTAGGTTGTCTTCGGTCTTGTGGTTCTATGCATATCCAGCTCTGCGTTACATTGAGCAGCGTGGCAGTGTGGTCCAGTGCGATCGATCGCTAAGATACCGGTATCCACGGCTGAAACTGAGAGCTTCAACAGCTCAGCTGGCGACGCCATCGGCGGTATACAACGAAATATACATGTAGCAATGGACTCTCTGCATGATTGTGGGTTCGAGACCAGTCACTTGCTTAGTTTACTCATTGGTATCATAACACTACTATGAAGTATGCATCAATTATCGCAACCGGTTTGATCGTCTCGAAACCAGTCCGGGGAGAACAAACGCACCGAACGAATTGGAAAGGTGGCCTGCTCCGATGATCCTGGAGCTACGGTGGATGCCTCGATCCAGCGGGCATCATGGGCGTCTTCCGGGCTGCACACTGGCGACTCCACGCGCCCGAAAGAGTGCAGCAGAATTTGTGGAGCCCACATCGGCGGGCATTGTTGCACATTCCTCGTCAGTAGAGACCTTGCCGCCGTGCTGTCTGCGTTCCCAGTGGAACGCACCTGGCCGAGCAAAACCCAAGAATTGTTTCTCGGGCTCGCTAATCGAACGTCACAACTTGAATGCGGGGCCCCCTTATGGTGGGGTCTGCGGCGGGATTGAAGGCGCCGCCGATGGCCGCTCTTTCGTCACTAGAAGCGCCCGGATCTGGCGAGTCGACTGACAGACTGCTCTGGCTCTCCACTGTATCGCTGCTTCCGGTATCGGCATTACGCTGCATTCGCCTCACTGTCAGAACTTTTGGGAAGATGATGAGCCCCATCGTACTCATCGGAACAGTCCAGACAATCAAGGTTTCACCGATAAACCTCCCATCAGGAGAAACGGTCCTCAAAATCTGTAGTACTGGTGCGCCCACAAGATACACCTGGAACTGCACCAGTATAAAGATCAAAACCCATTTGCTCTCAGAATACAGGTCATCGACACCAAGAGTCTTGTAGGCCATGATGCCTGCGAGAGCGACGGGGATAAAGAGAAACATTCCAGTAAAGTAGAGGCACGGAGCCACATCTCCCGTACAGCTTCCGATGGATTCACCGGTCACCTCATCTATCTCTATCCGCTCCCATCCGTATGCCCCCCTCGCGGTCCAAATACTTTGGAGCACAACGACAACTGCAAACAAGAAGATCACCGGTGCCAACCACATGCCAATTGACACGTTCTTGGATTTGTGGAGCATGAGACGGTTCACACGCCAATGTTTCGCAAAGAGCGAACCGTAGATGAGAAGCATACCAACCGCATTCATCCAAACGGCGGCAATACAAGAGTTGTCAAGCATCTCTTCTGTCCATCCCATGCCTTCGTCGGGACTGATGAAGAAGATGTTGAGCGAGATTATGGCCGATCCAAGACAGATGGCATAGAGGAAAAACGGCTGGGCCGCGATCACAACATTGTGATTTCGGTGAATGACAATCCAGATGGTACACACCAAGACCAACAAGAGGGCAATCGCCATTAGGGTCAAGCCAATAGCACGGTAGACGCAATCAATGTAGTTCTGTTCTGGTACATCCCTCAGAAGAGCAGGTGGTTCGTTCGAACCATTGGCGTACACAAACGGTGAAAGAGTGATGAACTCTTCCGTGGCAGGATCTCTAATTTCGGTTACCCACAGCAACCTAAACAAGTGCAGCGTGGAAAAAAGTAATGTGAGACCAGGGAAAACAAGAAAGGACCTAACATCAAGTACGAGCGAGGTTTCCAACTTACTCATCGTCGTCTCGATCTGGAAGCAAGTTGATAACGGTGTAGGGAATAGTGTTGCTCACTCTTGTTCCCGAATTGCCACCCTTAAACTTGACCCTTCCCGAAGCTCCTTTGAAGTCGACAGAACGAATTCCACTCATGAGCATGTCTCCCGTCATGACTCCGGTATCGTTTCCAGCATCCAAGAGAGCCTCGCAAGCTCCGATGCCAATGGCCATGGTGGCATCGTAGAGGTAACTGGAACCTTGCCACCAAGTGAGGAGTGTCTGCATGATGGTATTCAGGGCATCCGACTCATTGCCCTTGGCGTACGACCAATCGTAGTAATTCCGAATGGGTGTCAGAGCTTCCAATCGTTCGACAAACGTCCGGTTTTGTTCCAACAATGATGATTGGAAACCGTTCAAGTAATCAAAATCGAATCCATCGTATGGAAGCAAAAATGCCGCTCCCTTGAAAATGTTGCGGTTCCCAAATTTGTCTCGACTCCATTTCAAAAGGTTGTATTGCTCTTCCGTGGACAATTGTGCCACCCCGCCCGAAAAGACCCAGAAGTGATCTCCTTGATCCAATTCAAAATCGGTGGCGGCTTGTTGAATTTCGGGAGCATCTTGTTGAATGTCATCGGCCAACAAGACGACCGTCCGGAACCCCGTCTCTCGGACCTTTGCCAGTGCGTATCGAATGGACACATCGTGAAGTCCATCGACGGCCGTATCCGAGTCCATGGAGTGATAGGAAAATGTGCGTACTTGTCGGTCCACCATGCCCTGATCGAGAATGGCCCGCAGAATGTCGACCTTTTGCATGACCGAGGGTGTACTGGAGTACACGACGGCAATGTAGTTGTTCCGCCCGGTATGATTGAGGTAACTGGCTAAAAAGTGCATCTCGGAGAAAGGATCGGCACTGACTTGACTAAAGTAGGGGTGTTTTTCCGACTCGAGGAGTGTGGAATCAAAGGCCCGATGAGCCACGACGGGTATCTTGAGGGATGTTGCAAAGACGGAGAGTTCCAAGGCTGGAATTTCATTGTATGGTCCTGCAATGGCGTCTGGGAGGGACGCCAAGTCTTCCATGGCAATATGCTTGTCATTGGTCCCTGTATCGAGCACCGAAATATTGCCAAAGGTAATGTCACAGCCGGAATTCTTCAGATCGGCCAGTTCCGGTACAACGATCGAATTCCGCGAATTGAAGTGATCAATGGCCAACAAGGCTGACGCCAGTTGGATCCAACCTGGATCTGGGACGTTTGTGTTGCTATACATGCAGTATTGAAAGACAAATATTATCAGGTACAGAGCCAAAGAAACAAGGAATGATGAGAATTCGGCCTTCAAAAAACATACGCAACCATGGGTAGCCAAACCAAAGACATTTCAACTCACTTTTTGGTCAATGGAACTGCAATGAGCAGGGACAACCTATTGGCGTCTTCATCTCCATCCAAGAGCCCACTCACGGCGGGCCAAAGGCTTGCTATTACTAGTACCGTTAGGCTCAGAGCCGAAGCGAACCTCGGCCTCATGATGGTGCGGATGTTCTTGCGTCGTTTACAACCACTATCTCCCTCCACTACGCGTATGCGGTTGGCTGCTACCGGTTCTCTATCTTCTGATATTGGCCAAGTAAAGCTGCTACTAGTACAAGGGGCTTGAGCGGTGCTGATGATGTTACTAGCCCGTACTGCTTGTACTACTTGGTCGGATGGTCTGTTGCTTCCTGTTGATGATGTTGCTGTTGTTATTGGTGTGAGTGTGAGGTGATCAAGTCGTGTTCCATTGGTGCTGTGCCATGTGCCAGCCACACGCTGTTCCACACGGATCACGGACTGTGAAAGGAGAATGGAAAGAGAATGAAGAGAAGTCATTGGTGAAGTTACTATCCGAGAACTGTACAAGCACAGAAGAGACAGTAAGAAATACAGTACCAGTTCAAGCGCTTTTCATGTTGAGGACCTTGTTCGAAGATTGGATCCTTCACCGTCAGCGCCCTCGCAACAGAACCATTTTCGCGACTCAACGGCCAAAATCTTTTGCGATGACATCAAAGCATCGATCATCATGGCGGAGGTCCATCTCCACCCGGGAGACAATGTCGAATCCCTCTTGGAAGATCTCTGTGCGGCAGAAGAGGAAGACCAGGCTGTCAAGTTGACCCTCTATAATTTGGATGTTGGAGCCACTTTGGCGGCCCAAATATTAGCCTTTGTGCGAACCAGGCTCCATTCCATTCGACGGCGACATTCAACACCCAAGGTTTTCACTCTGGAGATTTTGGGTTGCACGGGATGTGTGGATCGGATTGTGGAGATCTTTGCCAATGGACTCTATGATTCTAAAACAACAGGCAGCGATGCTACCTCTCGAGTAGAAATAGTGGAACGTGAACTGATTCTGCAGCACTCCAATCCCAACCATTTTGATGCTGCCGTGTTTGTAGCGCTGGGCATGGCATTGGATTGCCGAGCTACTCGTACTGCTCATCAGGAGTCTTGCCGCCCACCACTGAGAGATTTGGTCCGTCTGCGATTGTACCAACCCGTCTTGTCCGAAGGAAAGCTGTGGACATTGGCACAAGGAATTCAGCACTCGCAACACTTGACCGAATTGGACTTGAGTTCCTGCCGGTTCACACCCATGCACATTAACCGAGCCACACAGTACTTGGCAGATGGATTACACAGAAATCAATGCCTCAAACATCTCAAGTTGGACGACTGCAATCTCGTCGATGACCAGATTGTGTGTTTCTTGGAGGCACTACAAAACACAAGCAGCAAGATTGAAACACTCAGTCTCGCCAAGAATAAATAAATGTCGGTCGCGGGGAATGATAACGTTGGCAGCTGCATTCTCCACAGCAGCTACTGACACGACAGCAGCAACAACATCCGACGAATCACACAACGACAACAATCCGCTTCCTCCACTCCATCTGGACCTCTCGGATCAACAGTTCAATGATGACAACAACAATAGCAACAATAACAATATTCTGTTTCATCAAGACGTGATCCACGCGTGGCAGCAGGCACCAACCTTCGTGGATCGTTTGGCCACTCTCCACTTGACTCACAACAAGATATCGGATCAAGAGTTTCAAGCGCTGCTAGCACTGCTGTTTCGTCGCCGTACCAATCAAAACCAACAACAACCGCGCTGGGCATCGTCCATTCAAGACTTGGAGGTGTCGGCGGACAATTTGGCAGAACAAGGCATTTTGCAGCTGGCCCAAATCATTCAAAACTATCAACCCAACAATCCTCGAAGTGTATGGAAACGGTTGTGTCTTTGCGGAAACATTTCTGCCGTGATACAAGAGGCGGTCCTTCCTCCGTTGGCCAAAGCCATGCAGTCAAATGTCTTTTTGGAAGGAGTGATTGTTGGCAATATCAGTGGGTCGGACTGGCCAAAGCAATCCTCCGTTTCATCGCCAAGACACGCCATCAACTACTACACCATGCTCAACAAGGGAGGAAGGAGATGGATTCTCCGCGGAAACGAGACAAATGACACTGAACAGCACAGGATACCCTTGGCTCTGTGGCCTCTGCTGTTGGAACGAATCAATCTTCACACGGACCTGTTTAGCAGGTACCAGGAAGATCAAGAAAACGCCAGGATCAATGTGATTCACAACCTTGTGGTGGCCTCCCAGGGATTCCGTTGGGGTGAAAGACGTGGACTAGGGCAGAAATGGCGGGAGGAAGAACTCACAGACAGATTGGGATAGCTGTGTCATATTGGGTGGAATTTGAAGAAAAGGATTCTTGCTAGCAAGGTACGTTCCTTCAAAACGGCGATATGTGTGTTTGCATCATTGCTAGGTTGCACAATGATTCAAAATTGTTCTCCAAGGACTCTTTGAAGAATGACGACTCTCACATAAGTGGATTTATATGAGTGCTACTGTATGGTACTGGATGCGATGGGGTTATCTAATGTGAAACAGTCTAGCTTGTATGGTATCATGAAGTCTCTAACAGTACTTTTGATGCAAATTCCTTGTCAATTTGTAGGAGTGATGAAAGGATTGAGGCATGTGACACTTGACAGTGTCGGTTTTACAGCAGCAATCCATGATGGACGGTAAGCTCGTTCCAATTGCAGGCACAGGTTTGGCGTCAATTGCGCTGATTGATGATTCTCCCCATGACACTACCGGTACAGCGTAGTTAAATACCAAACTGACGCTGGCTTACAATCCACCGTGCACCTGTCCTAACTAAGCTAGCTAGCTAGTCTACTAGCCTAGCTAGCTAGCTAGCTACTATAGTAGTTTCTTTTAGGAGACCACCGACTTCTGCAACTGTCTCCCTTGAATCCATGATGTGGTTGAAGCCATGCCTTGGGTTGACCGTCAAGGCCACCACCACTAGGGTAGCAAGGCGGAGTTTTCGGGCACCACTAGGCTCTCTTTTTGGCAGCCAACATGCCGGGGGAACGTCTGTTTTGGATCAATTTCTCCTTGCTGAGCGGACTGGTTCGAGCTCTGTCGTTCGTCCTCTTCTTCCTCCCAAGCCAACTTAGGTACTGAGGAGGAGATGATAAAGGATACTTCTGGTTATATGGGCGACAAAAGTGCTCCTTCTTTTACTTCAGCTATGAGATCCATGGTCAGACCTTTCTTTATGAAAGTCCATCCAGATACTCAGACTTCTACGACTGCAAAAGACGTCAACTTGGTGGCCATTCAGAATCTCAATGCCTTTTTGGATTCGGTCCAAGCCAAACTAAAACCCGGGGCTAGGCAACAGCGAAATGAAAAAAATGTCTTTCGCGTGGATTTCTGTGTCATGATGGAAGAACAGGTGCGTGGCAAAAAGGAAGAGATTCTGTGCCGGCGAACGGTCGAGTTATCACGACCAAGGAAACAAGTCTTGGAAGCCATTTTGACACCTACTAGAAGCAACAAAGCTAAGGCACATTTCAAGGACACATTGAAAGTCAACTGATCAAATTGCTTCATGTCGCTGGACTGATGGCTCCCACTTCCAAACCGTATCAAGAACAGACTACCCTGGAAGAAGATATTCAAAATGCTTTGTTGCACAGCTGTTCAAGAGGGCGAAGATCCCAATAGTCAAATCTCCCATGCCAAGATACAATTTGCAAGGCAACAAAAGTATGAACGCAATCGAGATGAAATCGTTTCCAGAATTGATTGGAACCGATACGAGGAAATATACAAGGAAACAGTGAGAGATGTACAGGCCAATATGGCCACGGACGGATTGATTCGAGATGATCCACATCGACGCATGGCACATATTGCCGAGATGCTTTCCAAGGTTCGTGTAGCAGAAGAACAAGAGCATCAGCCAAATGATATAAGAGAGGGTGTGGATCCCATCATGCAGCTGGTGGCTATAAGGAGATTATCATTGTTGCTCGATGAACAGTTTGACGAACTGCAGTTGGAAAACCTTGGCAGAATGTGGGAATCTGCAGTCATTACATTGATGCCAGCAAGAAGTTTCAACACTTCTGCCTCTGCACTCTACAAACAACGGAAACGTCAATCCAAAGGAGACATAATGGCCAATGATGGATTTGCCATTTCTCTGCACCATGACAACAGTGTCACAATTCGCATACCAGTCGTTTTTAGGGACGGAGAACTCTTGTCGCATCTGAGACGTCATGTCAAGGATTATGCAAGCTTGATGTCATTAGGATTGGATGGCTTCTTTCCTCGATCTTCTTCCGCTGCCAATGAATTTGTGTAATATTATACAGTAAGACTAATCTTTTCATACAGTGCGATTGTTGAGTCTGTCTGCTGGGTGGAATCGAATCGTTCTTTTTTTAGCTATCTGTAGCCCAATGAGGCTGCCACATCATTAACAGATTGTTGTGC